TCTTCTTCTTCTTCTTCTTCTGCTGCTGCTGCTGCTGCTTTATCTTCTTCTTCTTCTTCTTCTTCTTCTTCACGTGGCCATTCTGAAAGTGAATTCTTCCTCCCTTTTAATCTGATATATGAATTGAGTGCTGTATGAACTGGATTCCATTTCCTGCTCAACCTATAAATACAATTAGGAACTAGATGATGAAATACCATGCTCTCTGGCCTCGAGGCACTCACATTCTAGAGAAATCGGAACTCAGCTAACCTCTCTTACAGCCACAAGAACTTGGAGGAGTGTAGTGGAGACGAGAAATGAGAGCATTCTCTAAAGAAGTTGGGTTTTGAATTGGGTCATGACATAGGAAGTTCTTTAGTCCAGCCCTCAATTACAACTTCACACTTCTACCTACCTCAGTGTCAGGCAGGTTCACAGTATAAGAGGCACATGGGCCCAGGGGTCTCCCAAGCAACCAGCAGAGTCCCACCTCAGCCCTTTCTGTCTCCAATAGAGTTGAGCAGTGTGAGTGGGATTTCAGTGGACACATATGGGGAGAATGGCTTCCCACCAATGGGGGCAGTAAAGGCAAAGGGCAGGGAAGATTCATGGAGAGTTCAGCCCAAAACTTTCAGACTTTTATGAAGGCAGTTGTTGTTGTGAGCTGCTTGCACGTTGACTCCAACATGTGGTGACCTCACGTACATCTGAACAAGATGCTCCTTGGTTCTCATCATTTGTTGTAGGTTGGACTATTGTGACCCACAGGAACTTCACTGGCTGATTTCTCAGAAGCGGACTGTTCGACTCATCTTCCTAGTCTGTCTTAGTCTGGAAACTACACCTGACCAGCATCATAGCAATAGGCAAGCCTCCACTGACAGACACGGGGTGGCTTCACATGAGGTGTCTTGGCCAGGAATTGAACTTGATGTTAGGTGCCGTCAAGTCAGTTCTGACTCATAGTGGCCCTATATACAACAGTGTAGTACTGGGCAGTATATACAACAGAAGGAAACACTGCCTGCACCAACTTCCCAGTTGCTCTTGTGTCTGAGCCCATTGTTGTAGCCACTGTGTCAACCCATCCCCTTGAGTGCCTTCCTCTTTTTTGCTGCCCCTCTACTCTACCAAGCAGGATGTCCTTCTCCAGGGACTGGTCTCCCTTGATAATGTCCACAGTATGTGAGACAGTTGTTGTTAGCAGCTTTCAAGTTGGTTCCAACGTAGGATGACATCATGTACATAAGGAAGAAAATGCTGGGTATAACATCATTTACCTCTGAGGAGCATTCTGGCTGTACTTCTTTGAAGACAGATCTTTTTGTTCTTTTGGCACTATTTGGCACTCTGTGGCACTCTTAATACTCTTCGCCAACAACATGATTCAAATGTATCGATTTTCCTTCAGTCTTCCTGATTCAGTGACCAACTCTCACGTGCATTTAAGGGGCACCTTTAGTCCTTGAAGGAACACCCTTGCTTTCAACACGCCAAAGGGGGCTCGTGAAACAAGTTTACCCAATGCAATGCATCGTCTCCTGTATGGAACGTGAGAATGCCACTACTGCTCCCACGTGAAGGCAGCAGGAATCATGAAATGCGTTTATGCACTGGGAGATAGATATCCAAAGAGAAAATGGATTGCCTTTATACCCTTTTCTCCATTTTATGTAACCCTTGGGTAGCAGAGTGTTAAACTGAACCCTGAGCCCTGGCGTTGAGTAGACACAGTTCTGAAACTTGACTCCTCCCCTGGGCCAGCCCGTGTGAGCCAGGAAGGCATTTGGACCTCAAAGAGCCTCTGTGACTTCATCTCTGAAGTAGGGGGAGGTGAAGAGTCATCTCATAAAAATGCATAGGTTACATGAGATGCTATGCACCCACTGAGTGTGATTCTTTTCGTAACTGTCTTACCAAACTACGCTAAAGATCTAATTGTCCACCTTGTACTTGACTCACAGAGATAAGAACTGCCCTGCGATATGGAATGCCTTCAAAGCTGCATTCCTCTTCAAGGACCAGTGCAACATTACAGAAGAAGACTACCAACCCTTGCAGTACTTGGCCAATCAAACCTTACCTTGCAACAAGGTCAGTGGGTCAAACGTTGTGGTCTTTGGTGCCATCGAGGTGGCCCCGAAGCACAGCGGTGGAATGAGCGATGGTGGACATGAGTCAGAGGGAAGAGGTTACAGGACCCAAGGTTGATGGAGGAGGAGAAAAAGCCCAGTCCTTAGATTGTGGGTGTGGCCAGGTAGGGCTATTGCTTGTGGGGCCATCTGGGACCAGGTTTCAGGGCTTGTGGATAAGGGTTGTAAGAGAGACATGGGGACACAGAAAGAGAACTGAGCAAATATCATGCAAGACAAAACTAAGACCGAACACAACACAAACCAACAAAAATGCTCTGATTTTATCTAAGTACTAGCCTTGTTTCTGGTCTTTGATCCTAATGTTGTCAGGCACCATGGAGTGGGTTCCGACCTCTCTGAAGAACGAATGGGTTCATGGAGCAGAATCTGGTTCTGAAATGTGTCCTCTCTGAGAAAAGTCCTTGCTCTGATTGTGTGCATGCGTGGGGGGCGGGCTGGGGGATGGCAAGGGAGCTGTGGTGCTTTTGAAGAATCAAAGGACACTTCTTGCCAAAGAGGTTGCTGTTCGGACTCTCATAGTGAGCCTATGTTCAGGGAAACACTGGCCCAGCGCAGGCCTCTCTTCCAGAGTATAGCATGTAGAGAATGTTGCCCAAACTATCTTGCAGGCTCCCGAATGCCTTCACCAGATCTGGTCTGATTCCAGAGTTATCATGAGACTTGATCAGTGGCTTTCAGACTTTTCTGACAGCAGCCAGAATCTTAAGACCATTTTAAATCGTGACTTGGGAGATCTACATTGCCTCTTTCCCTTTTCTTTTACATTTACACACACACACACACACACACACACACACACACACACCCTCCAATAAAATGGAAAAAACTTTCTCAGGGTGGAGCGTTCGTAGGATGCATTCTTCCCGTTGAACACAGCTTACAAGGACAGCGCTATGGGAAAAACTCCAGTGTAGGAGTGGTTTTCTCATTTCAAAAGAGGTCAAATGTCGATTGATGACAAACCTTGTCCTGGACGTCCGTCAACTTCCGGAACAGACAAAATTGTTGACAAAATCTGTGCACCTGTGTTTGAAGACCGACGATGGGCCATTGAAGGGATGGGGAAGTTATCTGGCCAATCTTGGAGCTCCGCTCAGTGAATTTTAACAGAAGAATTGGGAAGGAGAAGGATCCATGCTTTGGGGGAAAAAACAGCTCCAAAGCGACCCAGACATTTTCCCCCCAAGATCATTACTGGTGATGAGACACCATGCTATTCTTAAGACCCTGAAAGCAAACATCAATCAAGCCAGTGAAAGATGCTATTGTCACCTCACACCCCAAAATCTCATCAACTGAAATCAAAGATCAAGACGAGACTCATTTGTTTTTTTGATGTGAGGGGGATCGTGCATTTGGAGTTCCTTCCACCAGTCAGACTGTTAATCAAGCTTTCTACTTAGAGGTTCTGAAAAGATTGCATAACAGTGCGCCACAAAGAAAGGCCTGATGTGGCAGATGGGGGACTGGTTTTGTCACCACGATAATGCACCTGATCATGCAGTCTGGTACTTACACAATTTCATGTCAACTTGATAAAACAATAAGGGGTAGAGTCCAGCCTATCCATCAGGTCACAGCTTAATGGTGGCTTCTTGTGCACATGGCCTTCTCATGAGGATTCTGGGAACTCCCTCTGTCTTGATTCTGCCATCAGAAGAGGTGAGCCACTCTCTCTCTCTCTCTGCTTCACATTCCTGTTGACAAGCCACATGGAGCCATGCTGATGGCAGCCAGAGCCCTGGGGATGCTTTCACTGCCACTGGACCCACAGGACTTTCCACTCACAGGCCTTTGATCTTCCTGCATTTGGCATCATTGCATGTGCTGCATGAATCTGAAGAGGAATTTATAGCCTAGTATTGGACAGATGGGCTAATGTCAGACTTATGGACTTGATCTGGATTGGCTGGGATGTTTTCTCAATAAAGTTCTCTCTTACACATATATGAATGTCCCTGGATTTGTTTCTCTAGTTAACCCAGCCTACTGCATGCATCCAACTCAGTGTGCTAATTTTGGACAAAAAACAGACTCTTGCCCTAGACACCTGACTCACTTGACCTCACTCTGCGACTTCTTTTTGTTTCTGTGAATGAAGAAGAACATGAAAGGACAGCGATTTGAAGATGTAGAAGAGGTGAAGGAAAAAACAAGGAAGGTGCTGTCAGCCATCCAAACAGATGAGTTTGAAAAACATTTCCAAGAATGGAATCACAGATTTGCCAAATATATTAAGTTTAATGGAGAGTATTTTGAAGGTGATAAGGTTGTTCTGTAAAAATATATATTTTTAAATACCTACCTTGGAAAAAATTATGGTTTTTTTTGAGGGGGTACTCCTTATACTACACACATCCATACACTTTTTCTTTTTGTTTTACCTTCACACTAGTGCACACACTCCCTCTTTCCCTCTTTTTTTTCTCTCCCATTCTCTTTTACACAAACCCACACTTTACACACACACAGACTCTCTCTCTCTTTCTTTCTTCCTTTCTCTTTTATACACACTTCACACACACATATATACATACTCTCTATTGTTTTACATGCCCCCACAGAACACACACACACAAACACACACACACTCCACACATAGGTACATACTCCCTTTCTATTGTTTTACATCTCCCTCACAGAACACACACACATACACACACACACCACACACATACACATACTCTTATTGTTTTACACTACCTCAAAGAACACACACATACACACAGACAGCAGTGATGCAGAAAACACTCCTCTCCCTCACTATATATGGTTTACTTTATTTTTTCAGTTTCCTTTTGTTTACAGAAATGAAGATTTATTTTTTGCCAACAAAACGGATTTCAAAAATAGCTTGTGTTTACTCTTTCTTAGTTCCTCTATTGGAGCAAGGCGTATACCCTGGTCCACCAGTACACAAAGGTCCAGCAGGAAATGTTCACCCTGGAGGACACACTGCTGGGCTACATGGCTGATGGACTCGACTGGTGTGGAGATCCGGGCACTTCTGGTGAGACTCTGGGCCCCCTGGGACAGCCCAGGACCTGCTGGTACAGGAATCCAGAGCTCTGTTACCAGCTCTGGAAGCTCAGTGTGGGCAGGGATGCTAGCACCCACTTGGAGACCAGGCATGCTCTTGACAAACCAAACCAAACCAACCAAACACTGAAGGGGCTGCTGTTGAGTTGAGGCTCATGGTGAGCCCATTGGGGTCTGAGTGGAGCTGTGATCCAGTGCGGTTTTTTTCTTTAATCATTTTATTGGCAACTCTTACAACTCTTATCACAATCCATACATATCATCCGTTGTGTCAAGCACATTTGTGCATTTGTTGGCATCATCATTTGCAAAACATTTACTTTCTGCTTGAGCCCTTGGTATTGGCTCCTCTCTCCGGTGAGTTTTCAATGGCTGCTTTTTCAAAAGTTGAATGCTGGGCCTTTCTACCAAGAACCTGTGGGTGGACTTGTACTTTTCAGATGAGCTTATTAAGTCCTGGAACTACTGCAGTGGATTCCACTGACAACTCCAAACCCCAAGCCATACCCTGTACCATCGAGGTGACCTCAATTCATAGTGGCCCTAAGTGTGTGTGTGTGTGTGTGTGTGTGTGTGTGTGTGTGTGTGTGGCTGGTGGATTTGGACCTTGGTGCTTGCAGTTTACAGTGTCGCAGACCAAGGTGGCATTCCCAGGTGCAATTCCTGTGCTTTTGAAAAGCTGCAGTGGCCCATTCCCTCCTTGTGTCCAAGTGCTCATGAAGCCTGCTTCTGGTTCCTGCTAGTTTGGTTTCTATGAGGGTGCCAATCAGGACCACAGAATTTTGGGAAACAATGAGGCCTCATTGCACTGAGACCATATCTCTACTCACCCACACCCACACCCCTTCCCCATTTAATCTTTTTGTCCTGTGAACCAAACCTCAGACCATTGCCACACAGACTGGTGTTTTACTTGATTACAGGTCTGTCTTCCCCAGTAGATCACACGTTCTCTGAGAACCTCTTTACCCCCAGGATGTAATACTCAGCAAGTGTTGTGTGTTCAGAAAAGCAAGCTGGGGAGAAGGAAGATGGAAACTGGGCATGCATGCTTGACTGGACCTCACTGATGTCTTAGCCTAGCTTGATGGGGGTGAGGGTGGGAAGGGCATCTGAACCTAACAGTAAGGGCCAAAGGAGCCCTGGTGCTATAGTGGTTACATGTTGGGCTGCAAACCACAGGTTCAGCAGTTCAAAACCACCAGCTGCTCTGCAGGTAAAAGATGAGACTTTCTAGTCCAGTAAAGAGTTACGGTGTGGGGAAACCTGATGGGGCAGTTCTTCCCTGTCCTGCAGGGTTGCTATGGGTTGGAATGGACTCTGGGGCAGTGAGTGGTGGCTGCTGTTGGTGTAAGGGAGGGAGGGAGAGAAGAAAGAGAGAACATTGGCAGCAAGCAGAGAATTTTCCCCTAGACAGGGGCTGCAGCATGTTGAACATTATAACTGCTAACCTCAAGGTTGGTAAGATCAAATCCACCAGTCACTCCTCAGCCAAAAGGCGGAGCTGCCTGCTCCTGTTGAGATTCACCATATCAGAAACCCAATCTTGGGTCACTATGAATTGGAATCGACTCGAAGGCCATGGGTATGGAATTGGGTCTGTCTCTGTCAGGCGAACGCTCTGTGCTTCCCAGAGTGATGACTCAGGACTGGCCACCGTGCCCCTGTCGGGGATGCAGACGTCAAGGCGAGGGCTTGGCAGGGATGCACAGGCACTTAGTTAAATTGGTTTTGAGATGTTCCCACTCTGTCCTCCTCCATCTTGGCAGTGAAGTCCGTGGAAACTGGTTCTTCTGGGATGGCCCGGGCACAGAAGAGCAGAGCTTTCTTGTCCACTTCCGCTGTTTTCAATCAGCTCTGTCTTTCAGAAATGAACCACAAGTCGTGCCCACACTGGAGAAAAGACTGTGGCAACAACCCCAAGTCCGTCTTCTGGAAGATGGCTTCCAAGTGGGTAAGTGCCAAGCAGGAACATTCTAGAATTTTGGAGGCCAAGGAGTGGAAGCGGTCGTCCAGTCCAGTAGCTGGTTCTTCACATTTTGGGGGTCACGGGTCCTTATAGGAATGAAGGATTAGGATCCTTTCCTGAGGAAAATGCTCGTAAGCACGTGGCAGACGATTTTCACAGCCAGTGTTCTAATGCTCCTCAAGCATGCAGCCCTGACTCTGGCCGATGAGAAGCCACCCGCTTGGTTTCCCCTCCCACACAGGTACTGGCTAGTCACAGACACCTGGGAAAGTTTCGTATGCTACAGTGACAGGCCACTTGTTTTGTGCCAGGCGTAGTACTCGGCTCTCTATTTAGATTCATATCCTTCATCCTTGCAAGCCCCCTATGGGCCAGGGACCGTGGTGATCACACTGGCTTTATGGGTGATGAAAGTGGAGCTGCAGGTGGATGAACAATTGACTCGCTGTGCAAATTGGTCAAGGATTTCATGCTACTTGGATCCTCAGCCAACACCCATGGAAGCTTCAGTCAAGAAATCAGATGACATAGAGTGTCAGGCAAATAAAATGGCTGCAAGAGACCCCTGGAAAGTGTCTGAAAGCAAAGAGTGCCCCTTGAGAATCACAATGTGCTTGCACAAAACAGCCAAGGTATTTTCAATCACCTCCCATGCACGTGAAAGCCGAGCGATGACTCAGGAAGATGAGAGATGAACGGATGCATGTGACTCCTGGTGACTATTGACTGTACCAGAGGACAGAGAAGATCTGCATGGGAGGAAGTACGCTGGGATGCTCCTTTCAGGTGGGGATGGTGAGAAATCGTCTCACATGCTTTGAACATCAGCTCCAGGGGAGAGCAGTCCGTGGAGAAGAACGTTGTGTTTGGTAAAGTAGAGGGTTCAGTGGAAAAGAAGAAGGTCCCCAATGAGATGGGTTGACACAGTGGCCACAGCAATGTGTTTAAGCATAGCAAGGGTTCAGAGGATGGTACAGGTCTGGGCAGTGTTTTGTTCCATTGTATATGGGGTCGCCATGAAAGGGACTACCCAACGCCTAAGAACACCGATGATGCCGCATTTCTCTTTGGTCTTTGCAAGTAAAGCTTCTATGATTATTCGTGATAATGCAGGGCTGCTGCAAAGCTTGTAAAGGCGAGTCGCATCAATAGAAGTGATGCAAATGGTTAAGGGCTGGGTTATTAGCCAAAAGCCTGACGGTGTGAAGCCACCGTAGTTGCCTCCGGAGAAAGGACTGGTGACGACTTCTTTGAAAACCCCATGGAGCACAGTTCTGCTGTGAAATGCAGGGGGTCACCGTGGTTTGGAATCGACTCAACACCACCATTTATGCATGTTTTTAAGGAGCTCAAGGGGAGCAGTATGAGCCCACCAACTGCTCCACCAGAAAGACATGAGGCTGTCTCCTCCTGTAAAGATTTACAGACCCAGAACGCATAGGGAGTTCTTCTCTGACCTGTAGGGAAGTTGGTTTGGTTTTTGGTACTCCGACCTGGGTGCTAGAAGTACCATGATGGAGGTGATGAAAGCTCTGGCCCTCGGATGCTCTTGGGGACTTGCACCTTATCTTTGTCAAAGGCACATGGCAAACTAGACCCTTTTGCTTGTTGCGATAGAGGCAGCTCTGCCTGGTTTCAATCCCCACTTCACCATCTGACTTCCAGTGGGAGGCAAACTGATCCAACCTGGACTGGATCTGGCCTCTCTCAGGAGGTATGCGCCTCAGCTCTGTGCTTGGAGCCCAGCGTGGGGTCAGCATTTGTGACTCGCCATGACAGTTGGACCAATGCCCTGAGCTCCTCCTCCTTCAGTGGGAAGACCCTGGGTTCCCCCAACTCATTGTTGGACATCTTACGGTGGTTTCTGAGCTCCTGAAAACTGAAGGCTAGACTCCTAGGTGAGGATGCCCAAGTCCCCAAGAGCTCACTCACTTTTCCAGGCTCAGCCTTGCTGGTGTTTCCCCAAAGCAGCCTTGTTCTCTCACTACATTCAGCTTTTCCACCACTGCTGCTTTGTCTGGTGAGCCCCATGGTTTGAACCCTCAACCTTGAGGTGCATAGTCAAGGACCAACTGTTTGTTTTACTTAGAGGTTATCTCCCTCCAAGTGTGTTATTAGTCTGTACCCAGCAAACCTTCTGGCTGAGGGTTTGCAGCCTGGCAAAAGGAAATTGCTTACTCAGTAACACTCATCCATGCATTCAATTCCCTTTCACTTTGTGCCTGCTGGGGCTTGCATGCTAGCTAATCTCTCAGCGTCCTGTTTCCCCAACCTCTGACCCACCCGTCCTGCTCCTACTAATGCGGGTGCTATAGCACAAGGAAGCGACTCCACCTTCCTCTTCTAGCCACGCTCCTCTCACACATCTGAGCATTTGACTTCTGGACCACGGCACCTCAGAAGGTCCTTGAACAATGAATGACACTGAGCCTCATAGTTCAAGCTACTCGTGTATCAGGGGCAAGTGCTTCAAGATGCTGATGGCATACACCCTCTTTCCCATGGCTTGAAATGAGTGACAAACTCCTGGCTGGACCTCAGAGGATAGGGCCTCTCTCATCAGGGAATGCTAACAGCTGTTTTAGAGGGGACTGCTTGGGCCTGGTGATGCATTGTGCATGCTGAGGAATGGTGGGTTTTTGTTTTTTTTTTAAAGTTTGCAGATGCTGCCTGTGGTGTGGTGCATGTGATGCTCAATGGGTCCCTCGGTAAACCAGCCTTTCAACAAACCAGGTACTCATTTATTTGTATGTTAAGTGGAAGGGTTCTTATATCTTCCCAATTGGGTGTTCCATCCTGAGTTAGAGCAGGTTGACTAGAGAAACTAATTCATTGACACTCATCTGTGTGCAAGACAGAGCTTGATATCAAAGAGTAATTGTATATTCAGAAAACATTCCAGCCCAGTCCAGATCAAGTCCATAAGTCCAATATTAGCCCATATGTTCAATACTAGTCCATACATCCCTCTTCAGACTTACGCAACAAATGCAATGATGCTGAATGCAGGAAGATCACAGTTCTGGGGGTGGAAAGCCCTGTGGGTCCAGTGGCAGTGAAAACATCTCCAGCACTCTGGCTGCCCTCAGTGCGGCTCCATGTGGCTTGTTAACAGGAAAGTGAAGCAAAGACAGAGTGTGTCCCACCTCCTGGGAGAAAGAGAGGAAGTTCCCAGAATCCTCATGAGAAGGCCACATCACCAGTCTGTGACCTGATTGACAGGCTAGATTCTACCCCTTCACTCTGAATATCAAGTTGACACAAGATTATGTAACGACCACCCATCCCTTGACAGATATGCTTTGTAGGTTTCCATTCAGTCCTGACAATCTAGCCTTAAAGAAAGGTGAAGTCTCTGTTTTCTCTGAGAGTTATCTGTCTCCATCAGTGATTTTGTCTGGCCCCTCCTTTACCGCAGTCTGAGAATGGTCCCCCTGCTCACTGTCCTGTGTCCTGTTGGCACTCTGGGTGTTTTCTCAGTTCCCTATGCCATTATCACCACCAGCCCAGTCCTTGGCTTTGTTCATGCTGCCTAGTCCCCACCCCCCAACCACCACCTCCTATAACCCACCGGTCCTCTCCCTTTCAAATAACTAGTCCTCACCATCCTTGATGGTCTGGACATTTCTCACCCCGTGAAAGACAGACAGGGCTTTCTCCTCCGATGAAAAGCTACAGCCTCAGAAACTCACAGAGGCATCGCCTCCATAGCAGTCAGTTTATTATTGTTTTTCATGAGTTTGGATTCCAAGTGAGCAGTAAGCCTATGATTACAAACAGAAGGAACTTTACTGGGCTGTGGACCGAGATGAAACGATCTCTAATGAGATCATTGTTCTTTCCAGCAATCTCTTTGCTAACTCTACCAGTAACCGACTGTAGTGGTTAACAGCAGGGACTTCAGAGACCATATGTGCTATCTCTGTGATCTTGTGAGCCCTGAACAAAGGTTAGCACTCAGCTACTGCCCTCTAAGGATCCCTTGCTGGTAGCAAAATGTACTACGCACTGCTCAGCTAACTTCAAAGCCAGTAGTTTGAACCCACCAGCTGTTCCATGGGAGAAAGATGAGACTGCTTTGAAGATTTAAAGTCTTGGAAATGCAGGGGGATAGTTTTACCCTCTCCTGTAGGATGACCATGAATTGGAATCAACTCAATGGGAGTGAGTTTTTGGTTTTGCTCTACAGGAGAAAAACACGGAGAACGGTTCCTGCGAGGACTGTAGCCTAGGAAGCTCCACGAGGCCCTTCTCCTCTGTCCATTGGTGTCACCATGAACTGAAACTCAACTTCATGGCATTTACCAACATATCACATGTGGCCTTAGGAGTCCCTGGTGGTAAAGATGGTTAAATGCTCAGCTACTGACAAGAGGCATCAAAAAGGAGGAGACCCTCCGCGAGAGGGCGAGATGTGTTTTCAACAATGGGCCCAGCACAGGAACACTTGTAAGGATGAGTGTTTTGCTCTGCTCTGTACAAGGTTGCTATAGGTTATAACTGGCTCCAATGCACCTAAGAACAAGAACAGCAGCAACTCACCAGCAGGTCTGTAGTTTGAATCCACCTTGAGAAATCATGAGCAAAGCCAGGCCATCTCTTTCTGAGCAGTCTCAGCACAGTCCACTCTGCAAAGCAGTGGGTCTCTATCAGCTGGAACTGACTCAGAGGCAGATAGGCTGGATTTTTGGTTCTGTTTCCTTAATCTAAGGAGCCCTGGTGGTGTTAATGGATTAGGTATGTGTTAGGCTGCCAACTACAATGGGTTATGCATTGGGATACTAATTACAAGGTCAGCAGTTTATAACCACCAGCTGCCCCAGGGGAGAAAGTTGAGGCTTTCTACTCCCATAAAAAGTTACAGCCTTGGAAAACCACACAGTCAGTTCTACAGAGTCACTGTGATTTAGACTCAATGACAGTGGCAGTGAGGGAGCTGTTCCAGTGGAGAAAGATGAGGCTTTCTACTACCAAAGAGAGCTACAGTCTCATAAACCCATCACGGATGTTCTACCCTGTTCTGTAGAGTTGCTGGCATTGACTCAATGACAGTGAACTTGTTTGCTTTCTTTTGTTTGGGGTTTGATCCTAGGCCCTTAGGTAGTTCCCTTATGACACATGTGGTTGAGAAGACGGTGGGGGGAGGAGAAGGACTGAGATAACATGTGAACAGTGTGCATGACAACATAGGGTCTGGCTGCTCAATGGCCCTCAGCGGCTGTGATCTCACTTCATCCTCACTTTGGAGCCCAGTCACACCCAGGTCTTCCTCTTCCGACTCCTTCCACCCTACCAGTTGTTTTGTTTTGTTTTATTTTTAAATCATTTTATTGGGGGCTCATACAGCTCTTACCACAATC